AAAGAAAAGATCCTACTGTGGCTTCTGTCCTTGCTAAAAGGTTCCCTTGCTCGAAAGCCAGTCGAATCCGACTCTAGGGTTGCGGTGCTCATCTCCGTTTCAAAGCCGAAGAGCCAGCGCTGTCCGAAGACGTTTCCGTGGTCATGTGGCCGGCATGACTAAACACCAAGGCGCACGGAACGCTGTTACCTTCCCACCGAAGTGGTACCTATTTATCTACTTGCAATTTCTTGCTTTCGAACTGCTAGGTTGGCAGGAGCTGGAACTAGAGACAGGAGCTCCTTGCTAGAGCAACACAAATTCAGTGTTAACTATTATTTTGTCCTTTGAAATTAGAAACAAGCTTTCATAGGTCTATTTTGGTTTTTAATAAGAAGAAGGCGTTATTGGAGCTGGTGATCCACATGGCAGCCAATACTGGCAATATTTTTATAGCTTCTTTGGAATGGGATGTAAAATTGTCCTAGTACTAAGTGGCATATAGTTTGATTAGGGGCCTCCTAGCTGAATGGTGAGATAATGTGAATTTTGTGGATAATGCCTGAATTCTGAGAAGAAGGCCATATGCCTCATACAAGTTAAATCCTCTGTCTCTCGTTGGTCCTATTTGTGGCATGACAAATGCTAGTCAATGGTCAAAATCTCAGGGAATGCTGGGGCCATTGTTGTTTGCTAAATGTCGTGATTGTGACTCTGAATGGCCATTCCATTATATAATCTTGCTTCTCCTCTGCATTGAAATGTGTGTTGATTGGAACTGTATATTTCTTTTAACCTCTGTGCCAGTAAACTGATAAGAACATAAGGACATAAGAGAGAAGCCAATGTTAGATCAGGCCAATGGCCCATCCAGTCAAATACTCCATCACACAGTGGCCAAAAATACAAGGTGCCATCAGGAGGTCCACCAGTGGGGTCAGGACACTAGAACACTAGAAGCGCTCCCACTGTTGCCCCCCTCAAGCACCAACACTGGGGACGGGGCCACGGTCATCCGAGGGAAAACTCTATGGTTTTCCCTCGGATGGTCGTGGCCCGCCCCCAGCGTGCCCGGCATCGTCACGTCACTTCCGGGTGATGTGCACGTGACGCGCATGCTCCAGACGCCAGCCAGGAGTCCCCCGCTACGGAGCAACACCCGACTTGGCAACGCTATCTGTCCCGTGCATAATCTTGTAAACCTCAATCATGTTACCCCTCAGTTGTTGTTTCTCCAAGCTAAAGATCACCACGTGCTTTAACCTTTCTTCATAGGGAAAGTGTTCCAACCCTTTTATCATTCTAGTTGCCCTTTTCTGTACTTTTTCCAGTGCTATAATATCCTTCTTAGGTGTGGTGACCAGAACTGTATGCAGTATACCAAATGAGATTGCATCATTGATTTATACAAGGGCATTATGATACTGGCTGATTTGTTTTCAGTTCAATTCCTAATAATCCCCAGCATAGTGTTGGCCTTTTTTATTGCAGTCGCACACTGTCTCAACGTTTTCAGTGAGTTATCTACTACGACTCCAAGATCTCTCTCTTGGTCAGTCTCTGCCAGTTTGGACCCCAACAGCGTGTTTTTATAGTTAGGATTTTTGGCCCCAATGTGCATCACTTTGCACTTGGCCACACTGAACCCCATTTGTCATGTTGACGCCCACACACCCATCCTTGACAGATCCCTTCGGAGTACCTTACAATCCTCCCTAATTCTCACTAACCTGAACAATTTAGTGTCATCCACAAATTTAGCCACTTCACTACTTACTCCCAACTCCAAATCATTATTGGTCAAGTAAAAAAACATGACCCAGTACTGATCCCTGCAGTACCCCACTGCTTACCACCCTCCACTGTGAAAATTGCCCATTTATACTCTCAGTTTCCTATTAATTAGCACGTTTTTGATCCACAAGGGGACTTGTCCTTTTATCCCATGACTATTGAGCTTACTTAGGAGCCTTTGATAAGGAACTTTATCAAAAGCTTTCTGGAAGTCAAGGTAAACAACATCTATTGGATCCCCCTTGTCCACATGTTTGTTTACCCCCTCAGGGAACACTAACAGTTGCAGAACCCATGCTGAGTCTGCCTCAATTGTTCTTGTTCATCAATGTGCCTACCAGGGGTCATTTCGTAGAAAAAGAGCTAGGGGAACTCATTAGCATAACTCATTAGCATATGCCACACCCCCTGACATCACCGGAAGAGTGTCATAAGGCCACACTCCCCACCCCCAACGGTCCTGGCCACCGCCAGCCTTGCAGCTCCACTGCCGAGCCCCATGAGGGGCCCGGCGGTG